TCCCGTTATGTCTATGTGTTTGAAATTTCCTATCAGGGACTTTTAAAAAGAGGTTATTAAAATGAAAAAAATTTAATAAAAGTGCTAGATGCAGAAGTTGAGGAAATAGCACATGTTATATAACAGAAACAACTAAGCATATGAAAGAAAGCTACAAGACATACAGGACCTTCAAAAGTTATCCAGTCAATGAGTCTCAGAAAGAGAAAATAAACAAAAGAAGGATAGGACAGAACGAGAGTTTAGTTTTTTGTCCATGAGATGGTTGTTCTTGGTTTCCAATACTAGCAGGAATGTAAATGGGCACTGTCATTTGAAAGCATCAGTTCTGTAGTACCTTAAATTTAAAAATCCTGATCAACGATAGAACAATGGAATACTATTTAGCTATATAAAAAAGATGAACTCTTGCCTTTTGCAATAACATGATAGAACTGGAGGGCATCATGCTAAGTGAAATAAGTCAGAAGAAAAAAGACAAATACCAGATGATTTCACTCATATGTGCAATACAGAGAAACAAAAAAAAAAAAGAAACTGGCAAAGCTGAATCAAAACAAACTCTAGAAATTAGAAATACTGGAAAAAGATAAATATTGAATGGTTTCACTTATATGTGGAATATAGAGAAATCGAACAAAGAGTCAGGGAAAAGACAAAACCAGTAAACTGACCATAGACCTGAGGCAGACAGCAAGGGAGGGAGAGAGAGAGGGGTCAGAACAGGGGAAGGCAGAGCACCAGGGACTGTGGTGATGGATCACCGGTGCTATGGCGGTGGGAGAACTACTGGGACTACCCCTGAGGGGAGAAATCAAACACTCTGCAAAAATGAACAATGATGTAAGAAAATATTAAACACGTAAAAATACTGTTATTAAGATAGAAATGTGAAAGAAAGCTTATTTAAAAAGTAGTGCACCATGCCTTATGTAGCCATGATTGCATCTAAATAAACATTTTATGGATGGAAAAAAAAGTATGACTGCAGAATTGAGGCTACCCTGGGGAGTGTGGGAGTGGGAAATGGGAATAAAGCAGGGAGGGGGCCTGGTTGTTGAGGGTATGGGATTATGGGTGCTTTGATGGTGGGGTGCTCTGGTAACATACATCTGAGGTATGAAGCTAGTGTCCTACATCATATACATTATTGTAAATCAATGATAGCTCAATAAAGAAAAATTAAATTAAATCCTGATACTCTGACTGTAAGCTGTTTGTTTTATCCACCCACCCTAACACACCCTAGAAAAACATTCACACACGCACACAGTAAAATTCCTAAATACTTTCTAATTCTTTTATATTAGTCATTATGTAAATATCAAATGCAACTAAACTTCAGAAATTCAAGTTTCAGGAATGTATCCTATAGGTATAGCTGGCCAAGTGTACAAAGGAGCATATTTATTGAAGCAGTGCTTTTAAAAGCAAAAAAAAAAAGGTGGGATGATATATGGATATATGTATATATATATCTATGGAGGGGAGTCTGGTTAAATAATTTAAGGTGTATTTATACAATGGAAAGATGAGGTATGTGTAGATACAGAAATGTCTCCCACATACATAATCAGTCACTTTGACATATCAGCTAAAATTCAGAACTGCATGAAAATGATAAAGCAGTCCACTCAGTATCTTTTGATTTACTGAGGCACACTTTTCATATTAATCTTTTCTTTCAAATTTCTAGTTACATGGTTTTATTTAATGTTTCCACAAAATTAATTTAAGATTTTACTTATGCATACAAGAACTAGGGTGTAAGCCTGAAGTGTGGGGGAGGAGGTGAGAGGACTCAACAGACAGTAGAGAGCAGAATAGGTGGGTTTAATGAAATACACCAAGGGGAGCTGTGTCCCAGACAGGAGAGGTCTGCTGAACCCATGTGGGTCAGCCAGGTGATAGTGGTGAAACTTAACCCCTATGCCACCAGGGAGGCACCAAATTGTTTTTCAGCCAGTTCTCCATATGGTTTTGCAAAATGATCATTTAAACAAGCTTGTAGGTACTTCTATTAGGTAGTTTTATAATGACATTAACTGATAGCTAACCAGCACTTGAGAATGCTTAAAATTGAGCTAGAGGGTAAGTAGGTAACTGCTACCTAGTTTCTGATAGTAACTCCTTCATTTTTCAAAACCAAGAACACTGCTGCTGGCCTTAGGAGCTTGTAGGGTAAGGTGAAAAGTATTAGGCTTTTCTGCCCTCCCGCCATTAGGGTAGATGAGGGAATCCTGTGATCCTGAATGCATGCCTGATGGCAGGTACCTGAAGTGGGTACACCAGGGCTGAGACTGTGTTTATAAGGGCGGCGTCACGGGGACGCCAGAAGGCGGCGAAGAGCAGAGAGAACACCAGAGAGAGCCCAGATAGAGTGAGGATTTGCTGGGGGCTGGGAGGACTGCCAGCCTCCCAGCCCCCCAGCACCGCTGCCTGCTATGTGCCTGGTAAATCTAAATAAAAAACCTGCAAAAGCCACTAAGGACTCTGACTCCTCCTTTACCTGGTCTGCTGGATCAGAAAACCTGCTAGGGCCTCTCCTGCCCTTACAAAGCTCAACTAATCTTTTTTTTTTTTAATAGAGGCATGTTTTATTTATTTGTTTTGTTTATACATGCACTCAGTAGAGTCAGAAGCGCGGGAGGGTGAGAGAATTCACCAGAGCCAGAGTGGGGAGCAGAGCAGGCAGAAGGACCGAAGTACACTGCTGAGGGGAGCAGCGGGCAGCAGGAGAGGTCTGCACGCCATGTGGGATCCTCCTCCGGTGGCCAGGGAACAGCCGGGGATCGAACTGGCGCTGCAGAGGCTGCGGGCAGCTTCGCAACCCAGCGCTCAGCCACTGCGCCACCGGGGAGGCCCGAGCTCAACTAATCTTAACCTTCCTGAAATTGCTTTTACGGTCCAATATGTTACAGTTACAATGAGAACTTTAGTTCTTTACTATTTTCCCAAGTAGTAAGAGTTTTGTGTTTTGACTCATAGCTAGAAAAAGGTAAAATAGCATAAGGGATGTTTCCAATGTTTTGAGTAACTGTGGCTGGCTGGTTACTCAGACCAGCTTTAGGGATTGAAGATTTTTACTTTTGACAGCTATGAGATATCAAAGCACAGATATATAATATACAACACATGTCCAGAGAAATATGAGCAATGGACAATTTAAAAAAACATCTTCCAGAGAAGTGAAGGTCCAAACTCCAAAGGCACTGTAATCCTTAAACTAGCAAATTCAACCTTGACTTTTCTAAAGACACTTTTACAATTTTATAAATCTTTTTTTTTTTTTTTTTATAGAGGCATGCTTTATTTATTTGTTTGCTGGTTTGTTTGTTTTTGTTTATACATGCACTGGGTACAGTCAGAAGAGCGGGAGGGTGAGAGACTTCACCAGAGCCAGAGCGGGAGCAGAGCAGGCAGAGGACCGAAGTACACTGCTGAGGGAGCAGCGGGCGGCAGGAGAGGTCTGCGCGCCATGTGGACCCTCCTCTGGTGGCCGGGGAGCAGCCGGGGATCGAACCGGCGCCGCAGAGGCCGCGGGCAGCTTCGCAACCCAGCGCTCAACCGCTGCGCCACCGGGAGGCCCTACTTTTACAATTTTAAGCACAGCACTGTGAAGCTATCCCTGATCCTCTGCTAGGGAGCTACCCACATGGCACAGACCTCTCCTGTCTCCCCTGCTGCTCCTCAGCAGTGTTTCAGTCTGCCTGTTCTGTTCCTGTCTCTGGTGAATCGTCTCACTCCCCCCCAGACCCCCCACCCCCGCTTGTACCCCAGTTCTTGTATGCATAAATAAATCTTTAAAAAAATTTAAGTGGAGCATATGGGCATACTAATGGGAAGTCAGAAAGATGGATTCTCATCCATCAGCCCATTATTAGAGCATCATGTCTACAATAGGGATATTATTCAAGAAAACTAGAGGCTAGTAGTTACAGGGCCTACAAGTTTCAAGTAATTCAAGGAGTGCCTATAACCTCAGAGTTAATTAATGTAACATTACTTTTTTTAACATTATTTATTTATTTATACAAGCACTGGGTACAGTCAGAAGCGTGGGAGGGTGAGAGAATTCACCAGAGCAGGGAGCAGCAGGTGGCAGGAGAGGTCTGCACGCCATGTGGGACCCTCACCTGGTGGCCGGGATCAAACCGGCACCGCAGAGGCTGCGGGCAGCTTCGCAACGCAGCCTTCAACCGCTGCACCACCGGGGAGGCCCAATGTAACTTTACTTTTACCTCTAAACACAAAACTCATGTTACAAAATATGCAAATCTACCAAATTTGGTAGTTTACCTTTAAGGCCATGTCTTTAATTGGCAGTTGAGATTGCAACCTAAGATTTAGCCCCCCCCCCCACAGTTCTCAACAATAGCAATAAACACCTGGCCCACCCTAGACCTGTGTTCTCTTTGGACATCTCCCAATATACAGCCAGTAATGTCACAAACTTGTTTGTGACAAGGCCTATTAATGTAATTCAGTTTTCCTGAGATGTCAAGTTTTAGGGTAAATGTTTGTCAGGCTTTTCTGCCCTCTCACCATTAGGATTGATGATGGATCCCTGCGGTCCTGAACACATGCTTGATGTGGGCACCTGGAGTGGGGTGTGGGCATACGTATGTGGGTACACCTGGGCTGAGACTGGGCCTCTAAGGGTATAAGGGCGGCAACATGGAAAACTAAGCAAGCAGAATCAGCAGAGACAAGAGAATGCCATAGAGCCCAGAGATAGTGAGACTTGCTGGAGGCTGGGAGGTTTGCCAGCCTCGTAGGCCCACACCCCGCACCCCCTGCCACGTACCTGGTAAACTCAATAAGCCACCAATTCAATTCCTCCAGGACTCTCTTTTTACCCATCTGCTCGGGTCATAGAGATCCTGCCCTGTGCCATTCTGCCACTACACAAGTCTAAACAGATACAGTGGCCTCTAGGAAAAAAGAAAAAAGCAGATACCTCCACAGATCATCTAATTTTCATTTTTGTACTTGAATGACAGCACAACTCTATATTCCTATTATCTGCCAGTATTCTGAATAAAAGTCAACAAGATTAACAAGTGATGATCACTTTATTAAAAAGGCTGACTTAAGCATCTGCAATGGTGACTTCAACCTCAACTCCTGGTTCAATGCTGATGGAAGTAATCTGTTTAACAATCTCAGAAGGACTGTGCAAGTCAATGAGTCGCTTGTGGATCCTCATCTGAAAACGATCCCAAGTCTTAGAACCTTCACCACATGGAGTTTTCCTTGTAGTGATTCTGAGAGTCTGCAACAGAAGAAATGAAATTGAACTTAAGTTTGATGCTTCTCCCAGGACAGCTGGAAAACCCTAGTGGCAAGTCCATTTTCATTCACAGCACCCTTGAATTTTCAAATTTTAAAACACCACATCACACCAATATAATAGCAACAGGTGCATCAGCAGTTATTTAACCCAAATACTACCAACTGTTTTATTTGAGTTTGCATGATGGCATCAGCATATACAAAAACTCTTTTGGCAGCTAATCCCCTTGTCCTGAATGGAAGATTTTGTATTTACAACAGCTACAAAATGACTCCTACTCCCATCCTACCCCTATGATTTTTTACCTTGGTAGGCATGCGAACAGGTCCTTTAACTTTGAGGTTCTTATCTTTTGCACCTCTGATCAAGTCGGCACACACTACAGAGAAACAAGAATATCTTTCAGTTTGAAACCATCAAAGTTGGATAAAGAAGTTCCAAATGCTGCTGGCTCAGAATAGCGTATAAAACTATCATGGTAATTCAACACAGTATTTATCTCCTCATCGCCAACTGATGTAGAAAACAGCAAGAAATAAATCTGTTGTTAACGCTGCTTTTATCTTTAAGCTAAACAGTGTTACTTTTCCACAGTAACACGTGGAAAAGCGTCTCATCCTTGAAACTAATACACTGACCCTTCTCCAAAGATTTCACGTTGCGGCTGGTTAGAGTAATTCGAATTCGGTGAATCGCCACCTCCGGTTCCACGGGTGTCTTTCCGGTATCTTTAAAAGCCTGTTAACACACAGACGAAATAATCAGAAAAAGTCTGAAGCAGCCCGTTCATTCTCACTCGAGAACCGGGTTACTGTGAACTCTGTGGTTAAAAGAGAAACTACACCTCCGGTGCTGACCATGTGCGGCACAAGGGGTGACTTACGGTGCGTTACGTGTGAGCCTTTATGTTAAAAACCAAGGGGGGGGAGAGGAGGAAAATTCCTTAAAAGACGCCTCTTTCCGAGTTCCTCCCCCATTTCAGGAGCCTCGCTAATGGACGAGCCTCACCACCTCCTCCAACAATCCCCAGAAGGGCGCGGGACCGGCACCTGGACCAAGTCCCGCCGCGCCCTGAACCACACAGGCGGCGCCCGCCAGCCCCAACCCGTCTCACCATGGCTGCGGAGCGGCTTCCTGACCGACTTGTTCCTCGGCGAGAGAGAACAGCGGTGAGTCAGGAACAGGAGCCGGCGAGCTACAGCCCCGACGCTACCGCGCCCGCGTCTTCCGCGAAAAGAAAGGCGAGAGGCCTGCGTGGATCTTATATAGCGCACGCGCATCTGCATCCGGGTCACGCACGCTTATCCACGCTGCCCCGGAAGGAGAATTGCCCCGCGGGTTCAAGTGGCAGAGACGAGAGTCGGGGAAGGAGCACCGCGGGTTAAAGGGAAAGTGCGGCTGCGAGCTCCCTCTGTCGGCGGGGAGGAGTCAGGGCTCCTCGAGCTGGGGTGCGCCGCGAGCTGCCTGGCCAAGATTCTCAGACTGTTTGGCAGGGGTGACGCGAGCCTGCGACCTGGCTTAAAACCTGAACCACTCCTCAGTCTACTCTCTGTTCCCTGCAAAATTAAAACGACTGCTGTGTTTTTACGGTGCAAATTTTGCTTTACATACAAGCCAATTGTTGGACATTAGGAAAAATGACTGATAACCTGGACATGTTGTTCTTTAAATTAGCAGGCATTTACTTTTCATACTTTAATTATCCTTTCCTGATATTTCAGCTTCTGGCTTCCCAGATCGGCAGAAGAATCTACATCTGTTTCTGGAAAGCAGCTGAACTAGGGTTTTCATGGTACTGGAAAGTGAAGTCGAAAATGCAGGGCTATGGGCATTATCCTGGAACATGTTGTACACCTGGACGCCCAGCCTCAAGACACATGTTATCTCCTTTCTGCCTGGATGAGGAAATAGTGGATGAGATATTTCATGATCTCCTCAATGATGAACATCTAGTCACCATCAAATATAGAACAAAGTATAGTGGAGATGACAAGAGTGATTGACTGTCCTGGGCAACCAGGACAGCATAGGGCAGACAGTTATGCTTAAGGATGAAGGCATGGTTAAAGAGATCAAGTGGGTGAGATGGGTTTAGATGCCTGGCTGAAAGAAGAAAAAATACCCTCACATTATTTTACAGGCAAACCTCAGTGCACAAGAATTATTTGCTCAAACACAGACAACTGGTCAATGACAGAGCTCTGACCTCCAACTAGGACTCTTTCTTGGGCCTTTCTCTTCTTTTCCTGGAAAGAAATTATACTTGAGACTTTTTATCAAAAAATAGTTTTCACTTATATGATGATAATTGAGCATAGCTAAAAGCTGACTTTCTTTGGCTCACAAATAACATACTCTTGATTTTTCTGCCATTGAATTATTAATTTGTGTTAAAATGTGGGTATTTTCCAGCTCAGTTATTTGTAAATACCACCCTTTGTCTGTAAATGTAATATTAATAGAATCTGTAGCAAAAAATCTGAAAACCTGCATTCTTATTTTACACAGACGAAACTTCCTACTTTAGGGCTTTGACAAATTGGTGTGACTATCAGCAACGAATATAAAAAGGAAGTTGGCTCTCTTGCTAGGATGTGACCAACCACCACAGAATTAGTATTGTAGGAGAACACACATCTTCCGAGAAAACCTACACTAGCATTCATATTTTATTAATGCTCAAAGGACAACAAGAAATTTGATGCTGGGCTGCTTGAGAAATACATTGGTGATTTTTTTTTCATTAACAAATCTTTGTTATGGGGCTATCCTGTGCATCGTAAGATGCTTAGCGGCATCTCTGGCCTTGACCCGCTAGATACCTATAGCAACCCACCCCCTCCAGCTGTGATCAGATATGTCTCTATATATAGCCAAATGTTCCCTATTGGGGAAAAATCACCCCGGTTGAAAAGTAATAATGAAGATAGATCTCTTAGCTCATTCTTTATGCCGTAGGACCAACTACTAAATATACTTGTCTGTTGGTGACTTAATCAAAGAAAAAGTATAATTGAAATGTTTTGGTGTTAGGTAAATTGCCTTCTCCGTAACATACCTAAACATACTTCTTTCAACAATATAATGAAGAGTTTAGTGAGAAAAAAATAAAATTATGTATCTTTCACTTTAAAATTTAAAAATATTTTTAAGATGACTACAAACTATGTTTTCCATATCTCTGTTAGTTCTTCCTTTATTAATTTTTATAGTTTTTTTTGACATGATCTTGTAAACACTTTTACTGCAGCTATTTGTGCGGGTCTGCGGATGGCCATCTACTGGTCTTTTGCTGCAATGACAGTGTCATCTCACTACGAAGGAGAGGAACAGCAGTTAAAAACCACTTAATTCATTGTACACATATGTACATGAGTGAAAAAACACAAATTGTCAAATGAATGCAGACATTTACATGCAGAATTTTCAATCTAAATAAAATTAATGTTTAGTAGCCAACGCTGTTGAAAGCACACTACCTATATTAATGTCAATGGTTTTGTTTCTTTTTTTATTATTAATATCAATGTCTTTGATCTTTACATCAACTGTGGAGGTAAGTACTGCTATTCATATTTATTTATTTATTTTAAAAATATTTTCTTTATTTATTTTTGCGAAAAAGAGTTTGGGTGTAGGCCAGAGGTGCAGGGGATGAGAGGATTTGTCAGAGCCAGAGTGGGGAGCAGAGCAGATGGATTTACTGAAATACACTGCTACGGGGAGCAGTGGGCAATTCAGGAGACTTGCACCATATGTAGGTTAGCTCCCTGGCTGGGGATAAAACTCAGAGAGGCCTTCATATTTTTTTAATAGAAGTAACATTGGTTTACATCATTATATAGGTTGCAGATATACAGATACCTCAACCTCTGTATATACTACATTGTACTCATCACTGAAAGTGTGATTTCCTAAGAGCACCATGCAATTTACTCCTTTTATACAATTTACCCATTCAACTTCCCTCTGGGAAAGTTGCTATTTTGTAATGATGGTCAAAAAATTTGTTTTTGTTGCGTTAATTCTTTTGTCACTTTATTATTCACATATAAGCAAAGTTGTACAGTTATTCATATTTTACTTATGAGGCAGCTGAGTTTAGGTGATCTGCCCCAGGTCATGGAAAAGCAAGTGTTGAAAACCATGCAGTTTAACACTTTGTGCTCTTCACCGCCACACCACACCACACTGTCTGTTAGTATATTAACTCCTATTTTTCTCATTAGTAGAGGTACTACATTTGAGAAGTGTAATATCCCATTATGCTATACAGTATGACATAGAAGGGTTTTATATATCTCACTTTGTTATAGGGCAGCCCCGATATTGAACGGGTTCCTGGCTGTGGGTCCTCACCCGCGTGCTTAAAAGGGACTTATGAATACTCCACTACAGACACACACAAAAGGTTAATAAAAGGTTTATTTACAAGGGAAAAGGAAATAAGAAAAATGTACAACTCAGGAAGAAAAGAGGGAAATAAAGTCTTTAATGCGTCCTACCCGATCTGCCGACCTGGAAACCCAAAGTCACTCTCAGAGCTGGCCGGATGCTGCTAGCTGGTGGAGAGCCAAAATGGGGGACCCCCCCCAAAGCCCACGTGTCTGTCTTTATACTCACTTGGCTGCTTAACCCCACCCTCAGGTCCCAGCTACCTTCCCTTTGGTGGTGATGGGATTTGGAGTTCCCAGTGTCTTTGGCTTTGGCCTGGGGTGGGGGTGGAGTCCACAAAGTCTGTATGGAATTAGCTTTAGGACATCCTTTTCCCCCCTAACAACTTTAGTTGAGGTTAGAAATTTTATTGGGCTACTAATATATGTTCATTATAAAGTAGAATATACAATTTTTAGCTTTTTCATTTTTATTGCGAAGTTACGTTGATGATACCCAGGACTAGTCAGCTCTACATGATCATTCAAATTGTTTCACTAAATGGCGCAATGGAACAGAACAACGACATAGTAAAATTTTTTTCATTGGGAATGATTCATATACAACACACTTTGGATTGGTAATTTTCAATCATATTTTATCACAGAGCTGACAGAAGTCTCTATGGGAGTGGAAACTGAATGTCCCATCTGTAAGTCCTCATGGAACCTTTTTTTTCTGTTTCCTTCTTTTCCCTGGCTGGTAGGCCTAGAGATTATAACATTTCTTGAAATACAAAATGGAAAAATTAATGAAAATAATATGGAAAAGTCTACTTCTGTTACACAGTGCCATTTTCTAGATAATCAACAGAGGATTTCCACAGCCACATTATGTGATTCGGATTTCAAGCAGGGGAGCCAGAGATAAACTTACCTACCAGTCACATCATTTTCACAGACTAATGCTTTTCATGTTGTATAGAATTAGTGGAAATTTTAGAAAATATTTCTACCACTTGCCTCCTTTTATGAAAAGATTAGAACCTCTGGCTTTCTATGCTCACTAATTCTAACATCACTTTTGTGTGGCGTACAACCACATATATCACCCCCCATGATTCCCACCTCCTCTTATTCTTTCCCTCACACGATACTCTCCTTTTGAGTATGGGAAACTGTAACTTGCTTCTAAACACTGGAATTTGGTAAAAGTACTGGCATGTCACCTCCAAGAATAAATTGAATACTTTTCTGACTTCTGTCTTACTAGCAGATTCCCCCTTGCCATCTTCAATGAAGCAAGCAACCATGTTGGGACCTGCTACAGGGAGAGTCCTGTTTTGGGAGCTGCTTGTGGCAGAGAAATGAAGGTAGCATGTGACTGACAGCCATCAAGGAACTGAGGGTCTCAGACCAGCAGCCCCAGAAGAATTGAGGTTCTATCAACAACCATGCGACTTTGGAAGTGGATTCCTCTTTGGTTGGGTTTTCAAATTGGACCTCAGCACTAACTGACACCTTGGCTGTAGTCTTGACAAAAGACCCTAAACAGAGGACCCTTCTTAGTTGAACCTGGGTTACTGATCCACAGAAACTGGGAGACATTAGCTATGTGCTATTTTAAGCTCCTGAATATGTGTAAATTTGTTACTCAGAAATAGACAACTAATACATTGTGTCTACATAAATTCAGCTGGAAACAGCCGTCTAGGAGTTCCTTCAAGGTAGCCAAAGGCAATTTATGATGAGACAATATTGAACTGCATTGCCCACATTGTTGCAGGGAATGTAGAGCTGCAGGCTGGTGGTAGACAAGATGCCCGCCCATCAGAGGGCCTTCTTGTCTCCTCTGTATGCCGGTGTTTGGCTGCCAACAGCATGAAGGCTGC